GGGGGGGGGGGTGGAGGGACCGATCGCGCATGCATGACGCGCATGGCGCGGCGGTTCCATATAAATCGCGCCTCGAATCAATTCGCGAATCTCGGAATCTCGAGCGGCGTGCTTGAAACATCCCGACGTTAGATAAATCCGCACCGTCCGGCGGCGTCCGTGCACGCCTGTATATACTTGAGATCATTCCGGCATTAACGAGCGAACGTATCAGCCTGATACTTCGGCGGCGGTTCCCGTGATATACGACGGTGATCGTGCGGTGAGGAATGGCGCGCGGAAATTCCAACGGAAGTTTCGTTAACGATGCGCCCACGTACGGGGCGTATCCGCGACGCGCAAAGAGCGCGAAGTCATTCGAACAATCTCCCTTTACTGTTATCCTTTGCGCCTCCTCCCGTGCCGCGCCCCCTATCCTCCCGCGCGCGCTCTCGGGATACGTGATTTCTCGTTGCCGCATTTTACGACTCGCGGCCGAAATTGCGCGCGCGTTGGAAACCGCGTTACAACCCCGGCAAATACGACACGTCGCATCATTTTCCATTATCCGTCCGCGAATTTGCGCCCGTTCGAAAATGCGCGTAGGGGGGGGGGGCGCGCGCGCGCGCGCGTCGCCGTCGAGAATTATATCGTAATAAAGACGAAACGATGAGAATTAAACCGCCGGGGAAGATATCCTCTCTCTCGGGCGCGCGCTTCCGTCGCGCTACGCAGAAAGCGGCGAAAGAAATGGGGGAAATGTACGTGTGCTTTTTTTTATTTTTTTCTTCTTTTATATTTACTCGGGGCGTTACATCATCTGTATATACACACGCAAGCCCGTTTCTGCGTTCGTACGTGCGCGGCCGTATACTATGCAAGCGAGTCACGCAACGCTCGGCCGCGCACGTAACGAAGTAAAGAAAGGGAGCGTTTAATTAAAAAATTCCTCCGGGCGAATTGATTCGTTTCGGGCACGGCATTCTCGCAGTCAGGCGGTGCCCAGTCGATACGCCATTTCTAGCAACCGCGATCGGATAGTTATGAACTTTCCGCTAACATATCGTTAAATTAATAGCGCGCCATTCCGAAAGCGCGACGACTCAGAGCGCGGATGGAATCCGGCGATGCATTCCGCGATTACGCGCTCCTTTCCCCCCGGCGACGGGACCCGTGAATGACAGATTGCGTCCAGGATTGCGCCCGGATGCGCGATAGACACGCCGATATCCCCGGTGCCGGAGAACACGCGCATTTCGCGCCGTTGAGACGAAGGGGGAAGAGGGGAGGGGAAGGGAAAACGTCGAATCTTGACCCCTGACTGTTCTTTCTTCGGCGTGTTCCGCGCGACGACAACGCGGGAAGTTTGCCCGGTTCGGGATATTTCCGAGGCTAAACGCTTCCCAGGACGGTAGAATAGCAAAACGGCGCCATATTAGCGGACATATTTAAAGAACAAGCTCGTTATAACTGATAGCGCGGATACGTGAGGCTCGGTGTGTTCGCGACACTGCGGCTTGCGGTTTCGCAAATGGGATTGTAGAGCTGTTGCACATACGCGCACACACATACACACACACACATATACACACACGGATGCACGTTAACGTACGTACGGTAGTTTCGACGTGGTGGGCGCGTTCACGACGGGACTTGAGATAAATGAAATTCATAAGACGGGCTATCCTTGAGACGGGACTTTCCCGTCCGAGTGGGCGATAGTTTCGCGCAAGGCGAGAGAGAGAGAGAGAGAGAGAGGAGCCCGGCGGGGTTAGTGCGGGGGTCAGGGGAGCTCGTGCAACAAGTGACGTTATTAGGTTGGCGCCGGAGGGTTGCAAGGGAGGGAACTGCGAATCATAATGCATAACTCTCGCCCGTACTTGTCTTACCGCTCACACGCGGCTATTCAACCCCCGCGGAATTGCTCCAGCCCGGCTTAACGCGAGCCGCTACCCCTCGAACGTCGAAAATGAGCGGGTGCTCGCTGAAGTTCAGCCGCGGTTTCCGACAAAACCGTCGGTCTCGGCGACGACACGGCAGCGGAGCTGCTCCGGCCGGGTGCGTCTTGTGCGATTCGCGGACGGAGACTCTCGCTTTAACGACGGTGCGAAGAACATCGAAGTATTTTTAACGAGCGAATCGACGGGGGTCCTCCGAAAGGGCCGATTTCGGGGGACCTTCGTGAACGATGGCTCCCGAGGAGGAATTGATTCCGGAAGACGAGTGATCGATTCCCCAGTTTTCGATAAAGGGACCCCGATCTACAGTCCCACGCGTCTTAATCCCCTCGATAAGCTCGGCTTGTGATATCGACGGTGAACTTCAAAAGCTCGTTTGCGCGGAGATCGCGCTGCCAAGTTACGTCGAGAGAGCTCGTTCGTCCTTGTCGCCCGATATGGTAATCGGCCGGTCCGTGGGAAGACGCGCCCCCCGTCCTAGAAAACTAAATTCCCATTCCGTTCCTGCGAGATGGCGGTGGCCGCGAACCGCGAAAAGAGATCGTCACCGCCGCCGTCGGCCGGGGGAAGACAAAGAGGCTTTATTATGCGAGGAGAGCGATGGAAATTGAGAACGGCGAGGGCGGAGATTGGCAAGGATGCCGGGTGTTCCCGCTGGCGTCGAACGGCAAAGACGACTACCTTATATCCGCAGAGCTCGGATTATTACCGCTCAAGACGCTTATTCCGCGTGTCTCCCCCTCTCTCTCTCTCTCTCTCTCTCTCTTCCTTCTTTTTCGCATAATAGTTCGAGAATATATTCGCTCGCTAATCATGGACGGTTGGATTCGGCACGTCGAGTCTCGTACACTCGCGTTCGCCAACATGCGTTTACATTGGCCGTAGTTAAACTCGCTCTACGCGTCTCACCGGGTTCGAGGTCCTCCAGAAAGAGACAAAGAATCGATTAAACCGCGGTTAAAGTTAATATTTGTTATTTAACGACTCGTCTCCGCCCCCCTCCCTCCTCCTCCTTCGTTTCTCCCGCTCCCCGTTTTCTTTCGGCTTTCGAGTTTCAGCGACATTGGCGATCGCAGCGGGATCTATCAGGAGAGAGACAGCCGTGATAAAAGTATCGGTATAAAATTTATATCCGCCGATACATCCGATGCTAAGCATCGTAAAACCTCTACTTCGCCGGGCTGCGCATAAAAGGAGGCTCTTAGAGCCCCGGAGTAATCTTAAGGATGCTCTTGGCTTTACATACCGTATGATTGAAAAATATCCTACACGTGTAACACGCGGACGCGCCACGACGAGGGTGGAAAAGGTAGCGGCGAAAAAGGGAGGGGGGGGAAAAAAAAGGGAAAAATAGAGAGAGAAGAAACCGACGGGCGACAGGACGACCGCCGTGTCGTCAAGCCAGTCGTCCTTTTTCCGCCTCGCGGCCCCCTCTGTCTCTCGGCACTTGATTTCCGTCTTTCCCATTTTCCTCTTTCGCTCCGTATCTCCAGCTCCCTCCTCCTCCCGCCCTTTCAGCCCCCCCCCTCGTCTTCCCCGGCCGCCATTTTTGTTTGTATTTCGCGGTGATCGTGGACCGGAAACGGACGTCCGCGCCGTGAAAAATGGCCGCCGTTGCGCTTCCGGCGCGGGAACGACCCCCCCTTGTCCTCCTCGCAGTCCCCTCGCCTGAAATCCTAACCGACGCCCTCGTCCCAGGGCCTCGTCGGCGTAACGCGTTTTATCCGACCAACCCTCGCGCTTCCACCTTTCTGCTCTTTACCGCTGTCCCGTCCGACTTTGGCCATCGACCCGCGCCCAAACCATGTCCATTTGACGCAACGCGCTACATGTGCTCCTGACGCCGCGCAAACTAAGCGTTTTATCACAGTTCCGTGAGCTGTCCGGTCGCATGATTATAGTAATTGTCTCCTGACACTTTCGCGACCTGCGAGCCACCGTGCCGCTGACAGAAACACCGGCAATATTTCATCCCGTCGCGGCGCGTATGCTCAAAATTAAGAATGCGTTTTTTTCAGATTAATGTGCTTGCCGACGCGCTTTCTAATTAATGCTCTGCGTGTCTCGGCGAAATAATAAAACTACCGATCGACGCTGAAGTGAAACTTTCGGCTGGCGCGAAATATATGTATGTAATATTCAGCGAATTAAAATATTTCCACCATAAAAAACATTTTGTACCTGTGCTAAAAAATGATCCTCGTTGAAATTGTGTAAAATGCGGTGAATTTTTAGCATAACTATATGTTAATTCAACTTGTTACGTTTATGTTATCTCGATATTTTGTAATATTACATCGAGCCGATATTTGACATGTATGAGTATTAAAATAACATATTTTATACTTGAATATCGCTCGATATTACGGATGTATTAATTTTGTGTTCATTTTTCACACGATGCTTGTTACTTTTCAACATATTCGCCTTGGGTTAAGTTAACAGAAACATTTGGACGGGCCATTTGGGACGCGTGAAATGCGTTAAGTTTAACGCAAAGCTTCTTATCGCGCTGCCTCCCCTATTCTCATCTGGTTTCCAACATTGCGCAATAATCTCCGATCGGATTATTAAACATTTCGTACTGAAATCTGGTTGATTTTCGAGCGAGATTTGCCGGTTTAATTAATCATCTCGCTTTGTTTCAGGAAAGTTTCAAGAATGTGTTGAGCTGACTCTGTCTGGACATACTAGGGTTTTCGGGAATGGATTCGACGTTGTTGCTGTTCCTATTGACCGGTAAGTTCAACGTCCCCGCTACGTCGTGCTTCTCTCGGCAAGAAAAATTCGCAAGGAACGCCGATGTCCTCGGCGTTGACAGTCGGGCTCATTAGCGTAGAATCTACAAGTCCTAGTTGGACCTGCACGCGGAGGCTACATCAGAAAGTCCCGACAAACTTGGGTGGAGGGAGTTCCACTTATTATGAACTTCGGCCCGGCGACACTCCTCCTTTACGACAATGTGCCGTTCCGCAAGCTCGAAGAGACATACACTCGCCGGATTAAAACGATTCTCGAACTGTCAGATATTGCAGTTGCCAGCCGTTTCTCCGGATCATCTTATTTCACTCAATAAAATCGATGTACTCGCGCCCAGGGAGAGGGGAAACAGAATTATCCCTAGAAGCGATATCGTAATGTTTACAAAAACGCGGAGACAAGTTTCTTTCCTCAATGATCATTTCGCGGATCGCTCGTACACGGCGGATTTTCTTCTATCTCTCTGTAATACGAAGTGAGCGGAGCGGCCGAGGAAACAAAACGACGACTCCCGTGCGGGGAAAAATGGCAGCTTTATGCTATCCCGCATAGGGAAAAAATTTTTCGGTAGACACAATTTCAATATTCAGGATGAGTCTTCGCAAGAACCATTCCGACGATATCGGCTTCCCGAGAACNCCCGAGAACGCGTCCCCCTCGCGTCTCCCCCCCCCCCCCGAACTTCTAAGAGCGACGCTCGCACGACTCTCCGGTGAACATCGGTTTATAAAGAGCGGAGTGAAATTTACATTTCCCATCGAAGCGAAAACTTTCGGGGAAAGTGACTTCGATTTGACGCTCCGTGAACTTGCGGAATAACCCGGCTTCGGCGATCCCTCGCACCCTCGGTCGCCGTCGCGCGACGCCGTAGTGCAGAAAGCGAAAAACGCGTCCGTTCTCTCGGCCGTCTCTCTCTCTCTCTCTCTCTTTCTACGCGCACCCACGGTCGATGACCACGTGGAAGGTAGGAGAGCGAGGACGAATGTGAGAGCGGGAGCGGGAAAAACAGGTAGGAGGGAAAAAGAAAGGAGTACGTTTGGTTTGGCAGTGGGCGGTGGGCGTCGAACTCCGGGACATCGCGCGCGCGGATGACGAGTAATCGATCACGAGCACTCTGCCAACACTACGCGGCGAAGAGCACGGTGGTTCTCATTCGCAGCGCAAAGTGGAGAAACCTCAATGCGGTGGGTACCGCGATCCACCATTTACGGAGAGTGCCCGTGCTCGAGACTGCCACGGGAAAAACGAACGGGATAAACGGACGGGGGGACACGCGCGCAATTAGAGATCCGACGACGCCCGACGGCGGGGAGGGCGAAACGTGTCTTAAGAATTCCCGGCCGACGCCGGGGATCCCCCCCCCCCCTCCTCCTCGGCTGTAATACACGCATTTCCCATCGCACGGCTCTCCCGCACGTCGACGCTCTCACGTCGACACGTCGGGAATTAGTTTCGGTGAAATTCGATATCGGTCGCAGCATCGGGAAACTTGCGAAGGAAGAGTGCGCGGGAAGTGCCGTGGCGCAAATCCCCGAGCATAGCTGAGAGCCATGCGCCGGAGATATTTGCGGACGAGTTCGTAATGCTTTCGCGAAAAATACAGAAACCCCCGGCTGGCAACCCACCCGTCCTCCCCCCCGCACCCGGTTACCCCGGCCGTCCCTGTATCGATTTCTGTCCGATGGAGTATCGCGATACTCGCCCTCTCGCCACCTCTCGCGCGCTCCTCTCTCCATCCCCGATCGCCTCTCTTTGTGACTCGTCCCTTCATCCCCCCCGGCCGCCCCCGCGTTCAACCCCTCTTTCGCTTCCTCCGGGTGTCCGCGTGTCCCTGTATCGCGATTTTCAATAGCGCGCGCACACGTGAAGGTGGACATCCGAGGAGGATGGATCATTACTTTGACGCCGATTTTCTTCGCCGATACCACCGGCGCTTCTTCGAGCGTGCTCGAGAGATGGAGGTTCGAGGAAAACAAAAATATCGGAAGGAACCGACACGGTGGAGTGTGAAATTTCGGACGGTACGAAACGGGTCGACGGTAAAATTGAAGATCGAGCGAGGATTCAAGATATTTCGGGAACCGGCGGAGCCGCGAATGCAGTTTAATTTCGCGTTACACGGACAGCGGAAACGCCGCGCAATGAAATGATAATGCGCAGTGGACGCAACATGACTGAAATCCAGATCAACGTGAAAGTACGTAACGCGGGGCGCGCGCAGATACGCACGCGGCGGCCGCACCGCGCTCATTTATCACTGCATCCGGAGTAGCGCGAATCGTTCGCCAGTTGGATGGAATTATTTATCTCAATATGAAGCCCGGTGAGCCGAGCGCGATGGATAGGCTGCATGACACGGATGTTCTGATTTTTGTTTCACCGCTGAAAGATACAACCGTGCGCGCTGTAACGTCCCGCGGCCTGTTTGCTCGGGGTCGTCGACGATCGGCGGCCGGTATTCCACCGTAATGGATCAAATAAATGGTGATGAATAACAACACGGCGGCTCTGCTTTGGATTGACGTGGAACAAAATGTAATGTATATTTTTTTTGCGAATAAAAAAAAATATGTATAAAAGGGACAACCCCGTTATTGACGGCGAACGATGTGTCAACACTGCTGGTACGTCGATCGAGAAATAAAAAAAAAGGGTAAAGTTGAATCGGAGGAACGTCAGAGAGAACAATTTTACGGACGATAGGGGGGAAAGGGGGGAGAGGAAGCGAATGTGTAATATTCCTTTGCGAGGCTCTTCGACAATAACCACCGGCTCGTATTACGTCGCCAATAGTACAAGATTAAATGGCACTTTTGACACCATAGTTTACGCGCGTATCCGCAGCCGAATCGCACCGGTCTACCCGACACACACACATATATATATATATATATATATATATATATATATATATATATATATATATGTATGTATGTATATATGTATGTAACGGTAACTCCACCGCTGAGTTCATTCTATCGGCGCTCGACGCGACCGTTCCAATAAATACTACTGATAAAGAGTTCCGCCGCTACGTATACGTAAGCCCTTGTACTTTTATGGCTATTATCTTTTGAAATCGTTCTCTCCTCCCACACATCCTTTTCCTTCCCTTTATCGCGGAACACGTGCGCTATGTAACGAGCTGCGCCATTACAAAGCGCTGGAGATTAAATTTATCACGAATGCGGAAACCCGAATGAAAGACATCACAGAGATTAACGCCGTGAATATTATATTAAACCCATCATATACGAGGGGGATTCGTTCCCCTCTTGTCCGCTGGGCTAATGTTTTTGATATTATTTATATGACGCGCCTGTCACCGGGAACGAAAAACCCCGTATCTCGCCGTGGCCGTGCGCTCCTCCGCGCTATCCGCCAAAAAAAAAAAACGAAAGAGAGAGAGAGAGAGAGGGAGAGAAAGAAGGTACGAAAAAAAAAAAAACAGCGCGCCGAATGGTTTCGACGCACCTAGTTACGTCGTAAAAGCGGATGGAGCGCGTTGCATTTTGACCATTCGATTTCGACAAAATCGATTTTGTAGCAGCAACGGCCGCACCATCGGCCACCACAGCACATCACACTGCACCAGTGACGTCGGGGATTTTAGCGAGCCGCGGGACCGCACAGGGCGCGTTGCCAAGGGCGCTAAAATATGTGCTTAATATTTACTACAGACCGCATGGCGAAACGTATGGCTGTCAGGCAAAACAGATTTCATTATTAAGAACACTGACGAGAGAGATCGAACGGCTTTCACGGCGGGAATATTGGCAGCGCGTGTTGTCGATGCGACGTTGTCGGGGCCGCAGAAACAGTTCGCTCCAGTCAGCGACCGCTAAATTTGCTTTTCCCTTCGCTCGCGCTCTATTCGATCAAGTAATTGTCTTTCACGGGAGGAGGAGAAGGGAGTCCACGCGATTGCATATTTCCAAGTGCCTTGGAAATATGCGTGTAACGAAAGTAACAAATTTCCGAGGAAAATCGAGCGATCCGATGATGTTTCCCGGACCGGTCATTCATTGACGCGGCTATTCTACCGCCGGTCATTCGATTTGTACGGACGGGAAGCGAACCGATGTGGAGGTATGATGCTATCAATATGAGATCACTGTCCGATAGAGGGTGAGGACCGAATGGCGGATTTGACGAGAACAATGGAAATGAAATTTTAACACGTGTAAATATTACCACGGCAATACCAACGCGTATTTTCGATTATTCAATTCGTAAGATGCGCCGCTACTTGAACGCGGCAGATCGGCACGCAGGGAAGGAATTCGAATTGCGGGGCGACGGGAACGTTAGCGTTGTTTGAAGGGTGGATCGTGACGACGGCATTGATACTAACAAAAATCATGACGCAAATAATAAAGTGAAACGTTTCCAAACCCCAGCCGAGGGCGTTTGTACGGTAGGAATATTGGCTACGCCTGAGTATATTTGCACGTAACTCGCACAAATTGTTTCGAAATTGTTCGGAAACCGTGTTAACTGTTACCATTATAATCTCTGGTACCGCACGATCTTGGAACATTTTCGCGCGAGATATTTCGATTTTTATCTTCAACACGAACGGTCCTTTAGCCGGAATAATTTTTCCCGAGTCCGTTCTTACGGTTTTTTTTGCTCCCGCGCGTTCTGAAATTCAACGTAGTTTAGTGTTAATGCGCGCGATATTGCAAAATGATATATCAATACTGCCGTATGAGAATGTGAAATAATATTTTAAGCTTTTAAAGCGAGTATCGACGTGTGCGCGACAGAATATATACATCAACGTATAATTTGTATAATAGCAACAGAAATTGCATTAAAAGTTTATTTTATGAAACCGTGTACAAATTTTGTAAACCAGAAAAGAGAAATGCCGAGCGAGGTGCAAAGTGTACGTGAAAATTAGTGTCCATTTAAACTCATCTGATTCGCGCGAGACGTCTCGTATCGATTATTACCTCGATATACGCATGCGGAGG